ATAGTCATGCTGTTTTCATACGATTTTTTTCATCTATGGAATGATTTAGAACTACATTAATGAGAATTGTATAACTAGCATTTTTGTCAACCCGGGTTGCTGAATAATTTTGTTGCGAACCAATTGTTGATAGTAAATTGCTTTGCCACAAATTGTCGTTTCTTAAATGCTGACAATTGCAGATTTTGCGATCACGCCCCATGGTGTTTAGTAAAGAATAAACAACCCTATGCAGAATTTTCTCAATTATGTATCTTTTGCACTCTTGGGGGGGGGGGGAGTGGTTTAACAAGATCCGCTATTTTGAAAAGTGTTTAAGGAAAAAAACTCTATTTTTAATTCCTATTGATGACAACCCTAATACCTCCTGCTACCATATCAGCAAACAAAATGTCAATCTTGCTCGACATTTTCCAAGGAAATCCGAATTTATTTTCACAATAGCTGATCGTAAAGGGAATAAAATACTTCAATTCTTTTTCAAAAGTTCCGTTTTTCCAAAGTTTCAAGTCGTTTTTGGGAATAATGACTCGGACTAACTTATCAAAGTAATCAAACTGTAATACTACTTGGTAGTGTGAGCTCTTCAGAACGGCGAACGCTACCAAATAAGTCGGAATAGGAACTGTTTGGTTAAACTCGACACCGATTGGCTGGGATTTTATATCGGCTCTGTTTATTTCGCCTTCGTTGCCCAAAATCATGTCAAATTCTTTGTTCGGGTCTTGTAAAACTGTAAAATTTAGCTTGAATTTTGTTCGGAAATAAGGTTCGTCAAAGCAGGGAAAAACAGTCCTCGCAAAAGATGACTGAAGCTGAGTCACCAAACCAATCGTTTTGTTGTTGTTTTCATCAACTAGTAAATAAGCTCCAATTCTATTTTCCATACTTTCAAAACTATTCACACGACTTTCAAATTCGACAAATAAAATAAAATCGGTTGTTAAATCTTCGCTTAAAGTTACGACCAGTTTTTCATATTGTGGAAGCAAACCAAAACCTTTCTGCTGAACAAGTTTGCCATCAATTGATTTAACCTGGATTTTTCGAACAGTAATATTATAGCTGTTAAGCGTAACTTCGTTTATTTTTGTTTTCTGTTTGTTTAGAATATAAATTTCAGTTGTTCCTGTAATTTTCTGGTCTTTGGTAAGGTAATTAAGGTTCACTTTTTGACTATCCGGGTAAAAATTTATGTCAAGTCGATAATTTTTGTTGGATGTTCCGTTTGAAGATTTTTGCAACATTTTCCGATCAATTTTGTTGCAGCGTCCAATATACAGAATGGCAATCAAAACAATTGCTTTTGAAATCATAATTCCAATTTTGAGAGAAAACCAAAAACACGAAAAGTCACAAAGTTTCTGATTTCTGACTTAAATATACCAACTCGTTTTGAAAACTGGAAAAAAAACGGCGGCTCGGATTTCGAAGGCAACTGATGTTGTTTTAACCAAATTGAAATATACAGTTAAAGTCTAATATGATTCAAATCTTCTGCTATGGATTTAGTAACAAATAAACTAAGCAAATTGTATTTTTTGTTCATAAAAGTTTTAAATTAAATTGAGTTATTTACCCTTTTTATGATGAGCGTGAGAGCTGTTTGAAAGAAATTCTGATGCTATTTTATTTGCATTAGCTGATGAAAGTTGTAGTAAGCCTTTAACTTTTTTAATACCGTCACATAAACCTGAGATTATTTTATTATCAGAGCGAACTCAATTTTACAGCAGAAAATTTGCAATTGAGCAGACTTTTTTGATATGTAAAGACAGTTTTTAATACCTGTGAGAAAAAAACCTCAAAAACAGCAACCATTAATTTTTCTGCTCATTTTAGTTTGAATTTGTTATCTTGACTAGCATGAAAACATCAATAAATGATTGTGTGAAGTCAAACAATGATTATGGTCGGGTTTTCTCAACTGACATTCATCAAAAACAAAGTGATCAAATTAAAGTCTCGGCTCTTGGCTTGAGATTTAATTTTCGACCGAAGCCAATTATGCTTCACCTAAAAATTATACAAGAAAAACATTTCGACCCTGTTAGATAAAAAAAAGATAATTTGTTTTCGACTGTGTTCAACCGAGTAATATTTTGAATCATAAAAAGTATGACAGCTGAAAGTTAGCTCTTCGAATTTAAAACGGCCAGCCAAATAACTCCCCCAACCATATGTCCAAAACATTATTGATGAGTTGAAGAAGTCTTTGCTTTTTTGATTTGATGTCATTCATATTCGAAAGGTTTTTTTCCGGATTTTTCCACTGTGGGATGATTTTAAAGAAAAAATCCACCCGAAAAAAAAACAATTTAACAACTATATACGACTGAGGACTATTTTCTACAGCAAATTTGACGAGAAATACTTCTCGACAATGTTCCACCGAGGTTATACTGATAAATCCAGTTAAAAAAAAGATATTTTGTGACATAAAAATACTTCATAGGTTTTCTTTTGGTGAAACACAATGTGAGTGACAACGAACACAACTAAAATTTGGCCTTGAACTTTTAAGAAAATGAAGCAATTTTTCTTCCTAGATTGTTTTCTTATGCAGTCAAATTTCGGGTGTTAATTTAAATTGTGATTAACTTACAGTTGCCTTAATGAGTTTTTTCTATTCCCCCTGACAACCATTTTTTAATGAAGTTAAGATAGTTTTTGAACAAAAAATGATCTTCATACCTGGCCTGAATATGCCAGCCTTCATAATATAACTCCCCTCCCCGCCTCGCATAGTCGCAAAAATCTATCGCCTAATTACAGCGTAATTTAACTGTTACGAGGCGCTTTTGAATTCTATCAAGTCACATTAGTTAAAACGACCCTTAACAAAAAACTCAAAACACCATTAACTGTTTCATCTCAAACGATCTTTGAGAAAAAGGATAGTGACTAAATAATTGCTATCAAATCAAATCTTTGAGACATCCAGCCAAATGACAATTTAATTTTGAGCCAGAATCACTGCAGCTTCTAACTGATACTAATCATCCGGAATGCAGCGATAAGTTCTCGAAAACTAGTTAACAAATTACAATTCGTGGAAGATGCAACAGATTTAACTGATCAACAAACTGGCTTTCACCGGGATTCGAAACCGTGTCTATACATTTAATAACCCCGACAAATTTCAACCACTAATATCCCCGTCAAACTTTTTAACTTTATAACCAACGGGTCTGCAATTTGAACCGGTAAAAAATAAGCTCAAAAAAGAGAATTAGCAGTTCAATAGCAGTTGTTAGCGTTGCTATCATTCGATTTCGCAAATCAAGCTAAAAATCAGATGAGATCAATTGTTTGATTTGAGCAAAAATTTACTGAAAAAATTCCGACACTGTCCCGGCGGTCTTGTTGGTCCAATCTGGATTGTGAGAGTAAAAATAAGAAAAGACAATAAGCGAACCTTTAGCAGCAGTTGTCGGGAACGTTTATCCTTGAGAAAAACTCCATTATCAAAAAATCAAAAATAGCAATTCGATATACTGAAAATTTGCTCTTTTTCTTTGCCGTAAAAATGCCAAATGCCGGTCTGCCAAGATCCCACTGTAATTGAAGTAAGTTCAAAAACGGCAGAGGATTTTATGTCTTATGTCAAAAAATTTGAAATTTGTTCGAGTGAGCTTTAAAATTCAGAAATTGTAAATAAAGATTTGGAGGACCCGGAAAATTTTTGGTACCCATGCAAAAAACAACCACAGGTCGGGAAAAAAAGATAAATGGGTTTTTAGCGGATACGTCCCGGAAAAATCCTAAGTGTTTTGGAGTTTGTTGTGGACAGAGGGGCTGAAAAATTTGGTCAGATGGTTGGTTATTTTACATTCCGTTAAGTAGACTAAGACCAGTCGTTTTTCTTCACGAGTCTGTAAATCACAGCGAAATTTTAAGGATCCGATCACCCGCGTTCATGCAAATTATATCGAAGCAATCTGGGGACACATCAGGAAAACAAAGAAAGCTATGAACGGTGTTAGTGATTGCTGTTTATTTGCCGATATTGCCGAATTCACTTGGAGACAACGTATTTACAGCCATAAAAATATTTTTGCAAACCTCATAACTGAATTTAAACTACATTACTCCTTGAATTCAAATTCATATCAAAATTTTGAAAATTATCTTTCCTCCTTTGTGGTCATAGGATTAAGCCTGAAAGTAATGCAACTCTATATTGGTCATTAAATACTTAATCTTACTCTTTCCAGACGGTTTGGTATATTGGCTAAGTGTGACTCAAACAAGTAGACAAACTTCGAAAAATCAAGTTTCAGCGTGATCAATTTTCGATTTATTTTCTAGTTAAAAATTAAGCGAAAATCATCACCTTCTTTGACTCTACCTTAGCGAGTGAATGACTCACTTAAAACTTTTTCGAGAGACAAACATCCGGAATAGGCAATTCAGTCAAGGATTTTTTTTCGGAAAACAGACAAACGTGGTTATTTGGTAAACCTGACTTCTCGGCACATGAATTACACTGCCTTCTGTTACACAACAACCGATTAACATTGAAATGAACACGTTTTAATCAAAAACAGTGCTGATTTAAACTAAGCGTAAAAAACGAAAAATTTTGAAAATTCAAACGCGTTTTTCTCAAATTGGGTTAAAAACAAGTTTTTGGAGATTCAACTCCTCTAGAACTTTGTTGAGGTGTGTATGAGGCTTCTTGTGATAAATATTTCTCATCAATTGACAAAGTTGTTTCAGCGTAATTTTTGTTTAATTGAAAAAAGCCAAAATGACCCATTTTTGGGTAAAATTTAGGTTGAGAATTTCGGGGAAAAAATTGCACCATATTAATTCTGATGAAATTCTAAGCAACTTTTGTTCTCTTCACTTTTTTTCTAATCTTAACCCAATTTGAGAAAAAAGTGTTTGAAAATTCAAGTTTTGTTCATTTTGTCCGGTTATTTTAAATCAGCACTAGTTATTTTTAAAAAGCTTTTAGAATTGAATTTTCAAGAAACAGAAATATTGAAGTTAAATTATTCTAGGTGCAATGAGACTATGAATCACTTAAACGAAATAAAAATTAAACGGCAAATTAAGATGCATCTTACTCATGGTTATAAGAATGAGTTTTAAGCTAAACAAAATCGATTTCAAGAGTTTTTTTATTTTTTGTTGTCAAATCATCGTATAGTTTTTGCGGGTTCTTTAGTCGCTGATCGATTGTTAATTGTTTCAACGCCAACTTGATGTTTTACTAGCCATAACCAAAATGTTTTTCAAATGATTCGATGCTATCGCAGAATGTTCCGATGTCTATATTGTTCTCTTCAATTTGCGATGATTAACATCTGCTGCTTTGTTTTTCGATGTCCATGTAAAGTTTGTGTCGTCCAAGCGAGCGTTCTCAAAACTTTTCATCCATACAGCTTCACTTGGCGTAAGCACTTCTTAAGTGTCATCAGTTTAATCAAAGACATCTTTTCTCGATGACTTGACTCCAAAACAACTGCGACTTTTCGCAATTGCTACGGCCTTTCACTTTGGTCTGAAATGTTATTTGACGCCGCGGTTGCACGTCTTCTATCGCTGAATCGCGGTGGTTTTGAGGGCTCGTCGCTTTTAGTCGCTTTGGTTCCTTCATTTCCAGTAGAGAATCCTTGCTTTGGGTTTCTTCGATCCAAATTACCACCACCCGAAGTCCTAGCCGATTGTTGTCGAATCGCAACCGCCGATCTTTCGTTTCCATAACGCTCTCCACTATATTCCATTCCGCTTCTAGAATAACTGTTATACTGGTCATAACCTTTGCTACTGGAACTCGGAGGACCTCGGTTCCTTGAGTTCCAGGAGCTCCCATGGAACCCTGCAGCTCCTCGATCATAGAAGCCCCCTCCGGAATAACCATCATCGTACCCTTGGTTCCAATCATAGTCATCATTTCTACGATTCCCTCTTTCTGGATTTGCTCTTTGTGCCTTTGAGTTCCTCGAGCTCGGATCTTTTATGTTCGGATTCCTTGCGGAATTTCGACCACTGTTATCATTGAAAATTTCTGACCTCACATTTTCGGTTCTCGAGTTTTCACCTTCGTTGCCTTCTTTTTCAAAGAAATCTTCCCTCGTTGCTTTCGATGAGGTCGGTTCGTCTTTGTCTTTTTCTTTCTTGGCTTCGGCCAGCTTTGAAGTATAGTATCTGATTGCATTTGGGGGTTGTTGCTCTTTTTTGGGTGGTTCTTTTCTGCGCTCTCCGCCGCGCGAAGACGGGTAACCTTAAAACAACTTCGATTACAACAAACCATTTCTATTAAAACTTTAAATATACATATATTTTTTTCAGTTTTCATGGATTTAGTTTTATTATGCCCCTAAAATTTTAATTGAACATGAGCTTAAATAGATAACAACTCAAACGAGTTATGATTTATCAAAACTTATACTTCTTCCCAAGCTCATCATCACTGAAAAATAATTCTCATCCAATTGTTATTTTTATCCAGCTAAAACTTTCTTGATTTCAACCAACTGTCGAGTGTTATATGCTAAAACAATAAACAAGACAAACTGGTCTGAATATTTCATTTCCCTCCACTGAACACAAACTGTACGCATAGTAATGTCAATAACCAAGGCTACTGAGTCAGTTTAAAAATCAAGAAAACATCCCCCTCCCCGATATAGTAAAATTTTCCATCTCAGTGTTCACATAGAATCAAATTTGCCAAACTCTGAGTATGAAATGCTCAACCCTGATTGGTTGAAACTTAAACCTTGAAGCAAGTCAACATTCGGCCCCCTTAACTGTTTTTTTTTGTGGAGAAGGTTGCTAACTTAGACGCAATATGCTTCTCAACAACACTAACTTGAGCTTGCCGAGCTAGTGCCGCTGCTGCTATTGCCTCCTCCCCTATTCGACGGTTTGATCTCTCTAAACCCCTTCGCCCTTCCACCATTCCGCTCTCGTCTCCCCCCTTCCCCACCCCCACTTCCTCCCGATCTGTCCGACCCCCCACCTCCGCCTCGTGTTCCAACTCCACTTTGCTCGTTAGCCGAAGATGAGTCGTGATCTCGGTCTAGAAACGAGTTGGCAGAGCCGCGATCCTCGGGAGCTAAAAAAAAAGATGGAAAAGTGTACAACTATCACTTTACTATTCAGTTATATCACAATGGTTGATATCTATCGTTTGGTTAGAGCTACATTTACGAACTAAACCCCCCCCCCCCCCAACAGTGGATTTAAATTTGTGTCTGCATTCAAAAAATTGCGAATTGTGGACAGCCAATAACCGCAGATAATTGATTTCTTTGTCGCTCCATCTATTTTTCTAAATGTTCTGATGCAAAGGAAGTCGACTAGTTTTCATCATAGTTGACTACGAATGCTGAAGTTCAAACCCGAAGAAGAAAGTCTTCTTACTTATACGGCCCAAAACAAGGCTAACATAAGCGGATGAATAATAAAAGGCAAGATACTAACTAAAATGGCTCTTTATTTCATTTCAAATAATCAGGCTCGAGTTTTGTATTTTTTTCTGTTTTCAAATTTTGCGAATTTGAGCTATTAAAACAAAATATCCCAGAAAATGGGAAGATAATAACTTACGTGATTCCTGGTCGTTATGTTTGGCCTTCGCGCCTGGTCGGTATATCTGCAAAGACGGCAAGTCCTGTAAACCAACAATTTCGTCATACAATTCTTAGAGTTGCTGAATTGCCAGCGCTACATTTTGGATTTAGTTTGAAATTGAGACTTTTCGACCCAAAAGAGAATTAAGTCACCAATTAGAGCAAAAAAAATTAAAAATTCACAAGTAATGACCACTTGCTTTGCTGCCAAGCAACGATCGCTTGACACTAATCTAGATATTTCCAAAAAGTCTGCAGTTTAAACAAGGATAGGCGGTTGCTGTGCAAGCAGCACAGAATGTCCGACCACTTGAAAAAATTACTGAAAATAGGACGTTCTTCAAATTAGTGTCGTTTCGAGGAGGCGATGTGAAAAGAAAACTATACAAATGCGTATAAAATTTGTAAATTAGGCACAATCGCCAACAGCTGTGTTTGCACAAAAACTTTTTTAAAAAATCTGGAAATTTTTATTACCAAGGAAACGCTAAATGAAGCTTCCAAAACTAGTTTTCGTTTATACACAAGTTTTCTTAGCCGAAATGATTAATTTTCGTATAAGAACGTTCAAAATTAGACTCGCTCGAAATAAGACTACAAATCAAAAACTGCTAATCTGGTTTTCTCGATATTGGGTAACTATTTGACATAATTAAATGCTGTTCGAATCACGACTGAAAGGGCTGTAATACGATATATCACTAAACCCATTCCGATGATTATTTGTGGTACCAGATTTTGCGTAGAAGACAAAAAAATATAGCCAACAGATAAAAGGGAAAGAGTCAATCAACGCAAGCGAATAGAAAAAAATACTGACTTGTTTTTTTTTGAAAGATCTCACTTTTAAATGTCAAAGAAAAAATTTCTATAATGCTCTTTGAATTTCTAGTACAACTATGATTGACACTTGTTTGATAAACTTAACTCAAAACGTAAACCTTTTATTCGGCTGGGAAATCTGAAAGCTAAGAACCATTTTCGAAATTAGAAGTCGTTCACGTTATTCGTGACCTTTACACTTTCTATTCGATAGTGGAGTTAGCCTTCCTTTTAACACAAATAAACTGAACTTAAATAGAACTCAAAAGGCAAACAGCGAAATTTATTTTTGAGCCTGACCAAAATTTAAGACCTTTCATGAAAAAAAAACACCATGAAGACCTAAATAAGAAAGTTCACTACAATCATCGCCTCTTAAACAAACTAAAATACACCGGAGCTAATCCAATATACTAACCACTTAGTACCACTGAATTCTAATAACTATATAACTTTGATATATCCAGTATATCACACACTCTTGGACCTTAAATATCATTCAGGAATTATTGTTTGTTAATAAAGCGGATGAAACTTGAGAACAAAAACTTGTCAGAAAAGTCGCAAATTGGGTTGGAAAAATTCGATGCGTACCAAAATACAGATGGTGCTAAAGCATAGCCTAGCCAACGATGCGCTATTATTTGAACTTACGGTGAAATAGGCGTATAAATTTAATCTTAACCTTAATTTAATCAAAACTCAATACATTTTCAAATAGGAGCAGAATTCAAACTAACGCCAACTCTTTTAACGCCAACTTGCCCAGCAATATTCCTATATTTTCACATTAATCACTCAAGTTGTTTGCTTCATTTTTAAATGACAATCGAAATACGCGGCGTTCATTTTTTGACGCTTAAAACTTACCTTAAGCCTTGTCGGTTTATTAGCCGAATTCGCCGAAAAAGTTGAAGATTTAGCCGAATCTGAGCTCCTTGCCGAATCTTTCGCACTATCATTCTGCGCATCTCCATTGCTCTCTATATCCTGCAACTCTAATTTCTTCTCATCAGTCGTTTCGACTTTCTCATCCGTCGGCTTTGTTCCCGTTAAATTGTCTCCGCTATTTTTGTTTCTGGGGTAGTTTTCCTTGTTTTTGTTGATTTCACGAGTCGCTCGTTTTTCGTCGGCTTCTTTTTTCATTTTCTGCTTTTCTTGTTTCTGAAATAGATTCAAAGACGTCAATATTTTATCAAGGTTTATATCATAAGCATCAGCATGGCAGAAACAACTTGACGAACTTAATTTAGTTCCAAGTCAAACTACCTAGTAGAAAGAAGAGATTCCCTACCTGTTTAATTCTCTAGAAAATGAGTTTGAAAATCATCAACTGCAAAATTAACACAGACAAAAACTACTGAAATTGCTTTCTAATTAAAAAAAACTTTTCTTAACTTTCAAGAAAAGTCAATTCGTTGGAAAATGTTGGAATCTATTTCACCATTCTCTCTTCTGGTATTTCTTTGCTTTGGGAAGCTAAAATAAATTGTAGCCTTATTTTACTGGTGGGCCATTTTTAACAGGACTGGACTAAGTTGAAATTTGCAAAAAATATATACGAAAACACAGAGGCGAAGCGGAGTTTTACACTACTTGCGATACACCATATACAGCACGTCAGCTAGCCCAAAAAAGGACAAAGGCCTGAGATGGAAATTTTTTTAAATTAAAAAAGAAACAAGGATAGCCGGTTACTGTGTAAGTAGCAGAGAATTTTCCGACCACATTTTTTTTTCAAATTGGTGTCGTTTTTTTTTCTGACCGTCGTGATAACACAAATCTGAACGAAAAAAAAGAACTCAGGTATATTTGAGAGTAATATAGGTCAATTAATAGTAATAGTAATATAGGTCAATTGGGAAACAGTTTTTAAAGTAAAATGACAAGAAAAAACGAAAAAAAAAATCAATTTTTTTTTTGAATTTTCAAGTTTTTGATTCCAAATATTGCGCTACAAAACTGCATAAATTTCCTTTACTAGAGTAAAACTAAAGTTTCACGGCTTATATTAAGCTTAAATAGGCTAGTGTAAGCCTAATCGGTCACTTTATGAGCTCGAAATTAACCAAAAATCAAAAACTTCAGGCCGGTTTTTCTCGACGCCGTAAGAAAATTCTTATTTTTAACGTCGATCGAATCACGACTGAAAGGGCTTTAATATAATAAATCACTCGATCCATTCCGATGGTTATTTGTGGTGCCTGATTTTGCGTGGAAAACAAAAAAAACTAAAACACTTTCGAATACAAACTTCCTCCCCATTTTCAATGGTCGGAACAATCATATTTTTAACGTTAGTCTGGAATGCAGTTTAGAAAAAATAGAGAAATTTAGAGAAAAATACTGGGATAGATACTTGCCAGTGTTAAATACGCGTTAAAAAGAAAAATATTATCAAGCGGTTACTGAGTAAACAATGCTTGGGAAGACGACTGTTGAGCTGAAAGAAATGCAAGCTGAAAACAATTTAAGCCATAAAAAGTTCAACTTAAACCGAAAAAAAAAAACGATTCAGTTTTTGAAAATTTTTTCAAAGAAAATAAACAAGACTGTGCTCGTATCAGGACGCTGAACTTTCCGACTGCCGTTAACCGACCCAATGTGAAACAGACTCAAAAAGTGACAGACTAATCGAAAACATAACCAACTGACCCTAACCAAGTTGGAAAAGAGCAATGAACGCAAGGAAACTAAAAAAAAACTTATTTTTTTTCGAAATTATTAAACTTTTGAATTTCGAATAAAAAATTAAACGGCCTGAAAGCTCTTTGAATTTGTAGAACAATTTACGACAGACACTTTTTTGTCAAAATTAACCCAATTTGAGAAAACTGGATCAATAGGTGAAGCTTTTATTTCGCTGGGAAATCTGATAATTATTTTCCATTTTCGAAATTAGAAGTCGATCACGCTTTTCGTGACCTTTACACTTTTGCTGTTAGATAGTGGAGTTTGCCGTCCTTTTAACAACAGAAATGCACCAAACTTAAGAAGAGATCACAAGTCAAACCGCGAAAAATCAAAGTTGAGCGTGAACAAATTAGAATCTCCTATCGACTTTACAGAAAAAAAATTTAAAAAAATCAGCAAGACCTATATAAGAGTTTTCACTACGTTCATTACTCTTAAAAAATCAAGAAAACAACTACAAGAAAAAAAAATCATTGATGTGGTAACTAAGTCGACAGTCTTTGGGCAGACACCTGTAGAGCCGAAAAACTTGATTTGAAAAAAAAAATTGAAAAGTTTCAATTTCACCTCCCTGAACCTACAATGAACACCACTTGAAAACCGATCAACTCCCGAAAACCGATCAAAATTAGCTAGCCGTTAAAAACATAATATATTTTTTCATTCGCGAACAAAAAATGTTATTTCACTAGTTTTTTATTTTGTTGAAACTACCCAAAATTAGAGAAACTCACCAAATGCATTAGGAATCTTAGCAGAGAGCAACTTAACTTGACATAGCAAACCGATGAACTCGTCTAGCAATTTTGATTGAAATTATCAAAAATTTTGAATTAATTATATTCTGATTTGCTGACAACTCAGGCTTGTTTTGTTCTCGTTTTTCAATTGAAAAAAAAACTACTTTTCAAAACAATATGGACTAAAAAGCGATGAACACATATTTTCACTTGTTGTAGAAAACCATCAGAAAAATAAACAAAAAAAATGCGAAAACTCATGAATGCAATTACTTACACCAGAACAAATATGAAAAAAAAACAGCTGATTGAACAATCAAAAACATTAAAGGTTTAAACCAAATTTATAATGCAAACCGAAAAAAAATGACAAAAAAATAAGAAAACAAAAAAAAATTATGTTTAATTTTTCATTTTTATTACAATCGCAAGCTTAAAAAAGGGTGTGGGAAACGGACTTAAATTTTTCCAAAGCATATTGTTAGATTTCAACCAAAGCATATTGTTAGATACAAAAAAACTAAAGTAACTGAAAAAAAATCATTCGGAAAATAAGCCGACGGAATTGAAGCCCACACTCAAGTGCCGAAAAATTTTGGCACAAAAACACTATTAAAGGAACTCATAACAGGTACACAATACCCATGCCTAACATCCACCCACGGCATTAACCTTTTCAGTAAAAAACGTGTAACGTTTTCACGAGCAAAATCTGTGCCTTATGTTATTTATGGGAAAAAAAGTCTTGCACTCGATTGCAATAACCGTGCTTATCGCAATGGTAATTAACTTAGACCTTAATAAGGGGGGTAGATAATCGTTGCTAGGTATCATGGGGGGATCTTTTAGAAGGAAACAACTTCACCTCTTTTTCTCTCTGCTGTCTCTCCTTGAGGGCTTTCTCTTTCTGCTCCAACACTCTCCTCCTCTCCTCGTCTCGCTTCTTCCGCCCAGCTATCACCACATCCACATCTCTTCTCTTCTTATTCGTCGAACTCTCATCTGCCCCCAACTTAAGCTGCTCATCCTTCTTCTGAACAAACACTAATGATACGCTACCATTAGACAGTAGAACAATAAAAGCAGAGTTTAAGCAGAGATTAATAGTTTGAAACTGATACTTCGGGCAGGGCTATATTCAAGAAGAACAGCCCCACCCCCAACAAAAACTAAACGTGCCCTCGGCGTCAAATTATGGTAATTTTCAATGGAAAAAAAGGTCTTTTTTTGGAGAGCTCGTAAAATCAATTTGCTCTGATAGTTTATCTATAAAAAGGTCCATAAAAAATTTTTGATTTTTTAAATTCAAATAAGCTCTCTTATTTCTCGTCGGAAAAATCTTAGATCCACCCCTGACTTCGGCAACAACAAATCCAGTATATATAATATTGAAGCACTTTTGGTGGTAACAAGATTGATAATGAAAATTTCCATAAAATAAATTCTCAGTGCCGAGAAAAACCAGTTTGGAAATGAGACGAAATTACAGAGAGACAAAATTACAGAGAGACGAAAACACAAGAGACGAAATTACAGAGAAGAGCCATTATTCAATTTGATTCAATGTAAACTGAAGTTCCATAAATTTTTATGACTAGTCAATTATATTATAAATTTTTGTTTCGTCAAATTATATGGTTACTTTTGAAGCTAGATTTGGCTACTATCTCCAAGCCCTCACATGTACAGTGACAGAATATTTTTTAAAAATTAAGTTCAGTCTTTTATTATTTTTGCGAAATTGTGGGTCTGAACCATATTTTTCTACTTGCTCAAAAAACACTATTCCTTTTTGTTTCAAATTTAACAAAAACAACAATGGTTTAAACCAAATTTATAATGAAAACTGAAAAAAATAAGAAAAAAATTTTTGATTCAATTTTATCTAGCTTATATTGAAGCGCATTTAGGATCGAGAACAATTTATAATCGATAAAATTTTTTTAAAAAAAACTTGCATTCAGCAATTCTTCTAGAAATCATATAATCTATTAAAGCTGTAAATTTGCACGGAATTTCATTCGTAATTTGGTTTTTCGAAATATTTGGCGATCGTTACTTGACTCCAGCGGTTAACTCAACCCGATAAACAGGTTAGACTAAAAATTAACCGCTCCATGCCCTCCCTAAACAATGAAATTAAGAAAAACGAAACAAAAACGACTGACGAAATTTGGGCTTTAAAGCTCTTTTAATCTGAGAATCTTCAAGCAATGACAGTTTTTGCTAAGATAAACACAACATTCAAATGCTACAGATCGTGATTATTGCAAAAGTGCAACAAAATCAGTGAACACTTTTAATAAACACTTATTAACAGTTAGGTTAGAAAAAAAGAAGATTCTCATTATTACATTTCGCTTGCAAGCTGGCTAGTGTAATAACTAGATTATTGCGACTGGTTCGGAGTAGATGGAGTTAAAAAAAATAGATAGCTTAACCAAATAGATAGTGTACTCAATCTAATATTAGTCCATTAGTTAGACCACAATCGGAAAAAACTCAATACAACAAATAATCTGAATCTGTGCTTTGAAAAATTTCTTAACCAATCGTTTAATTATTTTTTTTTTCGGCGGACCGAACTTATTTAGCAGGACATCAATAACAAAGAAGCAAAGCTTCGCTTCGCAAACAAGCGAGAACACGACAAATAGAAGCTCTATAAAAAGCTTAAGAAATAGTAGAATTAAGCCTCGAATTAGTAAAAAAAAAAGCCCATACGTCTCGGATTCGATCTGCGACCTATAGATTATGAGTCTCGCGCACTAACCACAGATGCTCAACACATCACAAACATTAGCCATAAACAAATCAGAGAACAGATGCTATGAAAAATCCAATGCTTCAGATCGTGATTATTGCGAATGTGCCACCAAAGAAATGATCACTTCTAGTTGCGTTAGCTTTAAAAAAGAAAGCTCGTACTAATGCATTTCGTTTGCAAGCTCGCAAGTGTAATAACTAGATTACTGCGACTGGTTCGGAGTAGAGGGAGTTAAAAATATAGATAGCTTAACCAAATAGATGGTGTACTCAATCTGAAATTAGTCTGAGTTAGACCACAATTGGAAACAACTCAATAGAACAAATAATCTGAATCTATGTTTGAAAAAATTCCGAACCATTCGTTTAATTATTTTTTTCGACAGACCGAACTTACTTAACATGACAACAGTAACACAAAAATGAAGCTTCGCTTAGCTAACACTAGCGGGAACACAACAAATTGCAGCTCTACAAATTGCTATAAAAAGTAGAATTAAGCCTCGAATTAGTAAAAATTAGCAGTACGTCTCGGATTCGATCTGCGACCTACTGCGTCCTATAGATTTTGAGTCTCGCGCACTAAGCACAGATGCTTAATACATTACAAACATTAGCCATAAATAAATCAGAGAACAGATGCAATGAAAAATCAAATGCTTCAAATCGTGATAATAACAAATTTGCGACCAAAGAAATAATCACTTTAATTTGCGAGTTAGCTTTAAAAAAAAGAAGGCTGGTATAAATACATTTCGCTTGCAAGTTCTCAAGTGTATTAACTAGATTACTGACACTGGTTCGGAGTAGAGGGAGTTAAACATATAAATAGCTTAACCAAACAGATGGTGTACTTAATCTGAAATTAGTCATTAGTCTATGAGTTAGACCACAATTGGAAACAACTCAATACACCAAATAGTCTTACTCTCTGTTTAAAAATTTTCTCAACCTTTCGTTTAATTTTTTTTCGGCTGACCGAACTTATTTAGCGAGACATCAATAACGCAAAAGCGAGGCTTAGCTGCCCAATCACCAGCGAGAACACGACAAATAGCAGCTCTATAAATTGCTATAAGAAAAGGTAGAATTAAGCCTCGAATTAGTAAAAATGCGGCTACGTCTCGGATTCCGTCTGCGACCTACTGCGTCCTATAGATTATGAGTCTCACGCACTAACCACAGATGTTTAAAACATCACAAACATTAGCCACAAAAAAACAGAGAACAGATGCTTTGAAAACTCCATGCTTCAGATCGTGATTATAGCAAAAGTGCCAACAAATAAATGATCACATTTATTAGCGAGTTAAGTTAGAAAAAAAGAAGGCTTGTACTAATACACTACGCTCGCTAAAACTTTTTTTGTCAAAAAATCACCACAACCTTCGTAAGCTTCTTCTTTAC